ATTTGGGTCTCAGCAAGTGAGGCATTTGGTGTAGTCGGTGTAGGCTCAGTTTGATTGGTGAGTAGACACTATTTGGTTTGGGTTGAGTGTTCGCACTCCCGTTTGGGTCTCGACTTGTGTGGATGGAGTCCGTTGTCATGAGTCCGTTGACGTGACGTACTGGATGCAACAAGTGAGGCATTTGTTTTGGTTGGTGTCGGCTCAGTTTTGAGAAAACTTCACCGAGGTGGAGAATTGTAAACGCGGAAGTGAGTGGGAGTGGGGACCACCCACGTGAAACCGAGTGAACACCGTTTCGTTTACGCGTGATTAAGAAATCACGTGCAGTGTTAGTTTTCTCTTTTGTTTGCGGTTTGCGGATGCGGCCCACTTAAGCAAATAGCAGCTGCTATTTATACCTAGCTTTGCCTTGGTTTTGATGGCCGTGCAATTGAGGAATTGAGGGGTGGCGGCTGAGTTCTCTCTTTTGGAGCAGGTACAGTGCAAAAGGCAGAGGTGCTTCGTTGCTGCAAGGTGCAAGTGCAGGTTGGGCGCCGTGCAACAGTGAGCAGAGGAAATTTGTTTGCAGTCCTTTTGTGCTTTTGAGAGAGATATTTGTGTGAGAGGTTTGAGAGTTTGTGTGAGGGTTTAGATTGAGTGATTGTAAACTCCAATTGTATACTCTCCCTCTATTAGTAGATCTTTCCCCCCCTCCTTGCCCCGTGGACGTAGGCTATTTGCCGAACCACGTAAAAGTTGTGTTCTTGCCGTGATTTGTAATAGCTTGTAGGTTCCCTCGACAGATCAGTCCTAGAACTGATGAGAGGAAGAGCCGATATCTCACTTGGTTGAGATATCCGCTTCAGATTCTTGTTTCCTTGGTGAAACGAGAATTCTTATCGATCTAATCTCTCTTGTTGTGCTGCCGAAGTGCTGCCGAAATTTCCACTGCGCACAACATGTAAGACAAAGGAAAAAAAAATTTGATTCCATCAACTTTTTTTGTATACAGGTGATTTGTGTCATATAACATTTTCCTATTGGTGTGCAGTGCTGATGGAGCACCTAAAATACATTTGGGCCATAAATAGCGTCACTCAGATTTTAGGTCCATTGCCTGATTAGGTTAATTTTAGTCCTTGTTATATAGGTTTTATTTTAAGGCTTGTGATCATTTTTAGTGTTTGAGAATAACGAGAATTATGATCATTTTCTTATAATTAGAGGCCGGGGTTAACTCTTAATTCTTCTAAATAGGAGTATTAGTAAACCCTTCACTTTGAGGGGTTGACTCATTTGAACCCCTCTAGAGGGGTTAGCTTAACTATCCTTCTGCATTTTTTTTATTTGGCAAATTATAGAGGGTTAACTCAAACCCTTGTATAGATTTTTTATGTTTGGCGGGTTAAGAAGAGTTTAAGTCTCCTTAACCCATCACTTAATCTTTTGCCAAACGGCGCCTTAAGGAGTGTGTTGGAGGATTTTTAAAATTATTTAAGAATTATACGAAAATGCACCTAAAAGCTATCTCCATATATTTTTGGATGCTCAAAAAAAGAATTTTTTTTGGTGAAGCATTATGTTATGTTTCATTTAGAGTAAAATTGACCCACACGATGCCGTAACATTAATTTGAAATAAGTCGATAGAATCGTGGTTTAAATATTTGAAAAATATAGTGTATATATACCTAACACCTCACAACAAAAAAATTTACAAATTACAACAAAATATAACAACTTGCATCATATCCTTAAATATTGAAACACAAAGTGTCTTAAATTTAATTTGGTATAGTATTTTTGATTTTAGAGCGATCTTTCATGTCGGTGAGTTTTGAAATAAACAGTGTAAAACTTTTAAGTTTATAGGCGAAAAATCAATTCGCTAATCGCAATGTTGAGGCATTAGTGTTGAAAAGGCAAGATGATGATATAATAATAATATTTTAAGTATTTGAAAATACACCACTCATCTAAACTACCTTAAAACATTTATCTACAAAATAATCAGAGTCCTTGCTGCATGCCCAGAAGCATGTACTCCTGTCCGTGGACCGCTGAGGCCAAGCCATCGAAGACAGCGATTGAGCTTGACGTGGTGCTCATTCGAGATGACGTGCATTCTCTTTGATCTTGGCTGCTGCTGATAATAACTGAACCTTTTTTTTCTTTTCTTTTTCTTTTTTTTTAATTCATCTAAGGGGGTGTTAGTCAATTGAGACATTTTCATGCCAAATGGAATAATTGTTAAAGTAAAATAATTTTTCGCTAGTGGGATAAATAGGAACAATTTTGTGAAGCGGGATATTTTGATAAAATAACGTAGGATAATTTTATAATCATAAAATAAATATTTATGCATTTTAAAAATATAAATATTATTTATGTATTTTAAAATTACTATTATTGATTGACAATTGTTTACAAGAATATTCTTTACTATTAAATAACTTTTGATTAGACTATAAGATATTGACAATTATTATTATAATGACGGTCTAATGATGGTGATAACCATAATAGGAAAGAAGTAAAGAAAAAAATATAAAAAATAAAAAATAATAAAAGAAATATGAGTTCTAGTTTTTTACCACCTAGTTCCAAGCTAAAACTTGGAATAATTTGAGAGACTAGAACGTTCCAAGCTAAAACTTGGAATAATTTGAGAGACTAGAACTCTCATTTTTGTATAGAAAAATAAAAAAATAGGATAATTTTGTACCATTATCAATTTGAGAGACTAGAACTCTCATTTTTGTATAGAAAAATAAAAAAATAGGATAATTTTGTACCATTATCTCATTCTAGTTTTGTTAGAGTTCTACTTGACTAACACTGTAAAATTTTGTTCTAGTTTTAGTTCTATGTAACTAACACCTTAAAAATTTATCCTACAGATTATCCCAATTCTAATTTTAAGTTCTAGGTGACTAACCACTCTAAGAACTTTCTCATTCGAGATGACATTTGAGGCAACATCATTAATTTTGCTAACTTCTTTGAGCGGAGAAACGAAGGAGAGGAGGGAAATTTGAGCGAATTGATTTCTTGTGCGCGCCCTGTAATTCCTGAGCCCAGGGGGGTAATTGTGGATATGTTTTGATCTTAGTAATTGTTTGACGTATTTAAATTAATCCCTCAGCCCAAAAGAGCTGGGCTTTATGGGTATTAGTGTATGGGCTTCCTTGCAAAAGAGACTGTTACTTCAGATTCTCAACAGCCTACAATTAATTATGCATATTAATATTATTGGTTTATTACGGTGGATCTCATAATTAAAAGTTTTTTTTTCCAAATAATTTAAGATAACCAATATTAGTTATGGGGTTCAACCAGTGAGAAAATTTGATTGGTTAATTATAGTCGTTCCCTACAACTAAGAATGTAAATGGTATCTACCCACCATTATATATATGTTAGCTTGTTCTCATCGTGCGAGATTAGCCTAAGATTCCTTATCAGAATTCCTACAATAAGCTACGCGGATCAATAATTTTGTAGAGCATTCTTCCTATCGTTCCCTCGAAACAAGTTACAACCAATGACGGACGAATATAATTGAGAAACTATACTTCTCTATAGCTAAGCGAAGAGGAATTGGCAACCTCATATTTCCCTTGTCTTTGGAATTTTCTTTCTTGTTTCAATGCGAATAAGGTATACTCTCAGGCCGTAGGCCCTAGTTCACCTAATATTCCAAACTTCCATTTGTTGTTTCCTCCCAAGACAAAATGCAAGACTTGCAAGAAACATATTAATTACTCATCCTTCACCTTTATTGGACAATAACCACTATATACAATTATGATTTTATTCATTAAAACCTCCCAAATTTCTTTTTCCGCTCTCTCTTTCTTATATAATAAGCTATTCAAATTAGAATAGTACTTAGTATGGTGGATGCCACTAAGCAAAAGGGTGAACTCTTGCTCGAATCTGTTGCACAAAACCAAACTATATAAACACCCGCAACCGCAGGTTTATAGTAGCGAAAGGATCATCACGACTATAAACACCCCTAGCACAACCGCCAGCTGATGAGCACCGCCGTAGCCGAGGGGTTCATCCGATGCATCTTCGCCGGAGTCGTAGCAATCGGAGACTCGGAGATCGAGCGGAGGCCATACCATCGGCTCTGCGGTTGCGCTTTACACGACCAGCGGCGGTCATGTAGTAGATCGCCCTCTTGCAATCACAAGATGTTTTATCCTTTTAGGAGATCGTCAGGGGAAGGTGACTTGACTTTGGTGAGCTCTATTGGTTCCTCGTCGTCGTCGATGTCCTCGTCATCGCCATCGTCGTTGGCTCGACCGGAGATGTGCAAGGGTAAGGATTGGTTGGCTGGAGACTACGGACTGTGGCCGGAGCGTAATAGGAGGCATATGTTATGACGAAGTAAATACTTGTGTTCAGTGCTTCCAATTTTAAGTGGTTTAATAATTTTGGTTCAGGAAGTAAAGCTCTTATGAAAGTTGTTGACGGATGTAGCTCAACTTAGTTTCGCTCGGACACTTCACGAGCACAAACACTCAGCACGCGTGCATGACTTTACAAAGAAACTGCTCGTCTCGAAAATGAATAAAAAGTTTTTTTTTTTTTCTTTAGATGACATCCAAAATATCTTTGTAATATCAAAAGATTTCGGTTACTGCAAGCAAATCCAAAATGACTGATCTATCATCTACCTTCCTCTTCTGCATAGTAGATATTGTTTATTTCTATTTTCTAAGTTATTTTCAGGGCTCTTAAGTTATTTTGGTAGATTTTCTAACATAATGTAATTTTTTTGTGGAGATTATATAATGCAAGAAAGATAGTATCCAAATGAACAAGATTGTCGGAACATACGTCTGAGCCCTAGTGAATACGGGACAGGTAACATCCATCAGATTCAACTTCTCATGTAGCGCGAGAGTAGTTTGTGAGGAAATACAAAAGCACGCTCGAGTACTGAGAATTGAAACTTTCGAACTCCAACAGGCCTGGGAACTTGCTTAAAGACAAAATCGCAAATAAGGGTTAAAATGGAAGGCCTCATTTTACAAGGAGATATTAACAACGCATAATAACATTGTTTATACCACGATTCCAAAAGCAAACATAACCAAAATTCAGACTATGACATTTTCCTCGACACCTACCTTAGAAAATGACTCGCGCTGTCCGCTAAATTCAAGGTTATGCCTTGTAAATCACTGTAAAGATAAAGCGGATACTTCGGCATCTTCCTCAGGAACTACTCACTTCGCTTCCTTTTTCACTAGAAATTGATTTGCCTAATTCCCACAGTCAGAGCTCTGTGCAAGCTCCTACGAGATACAAAACTATCAACAAACTTGCATTCCGAGCACAACATTGTGATCAACACATAATATGGTTAAAACGCTGATAATAAATAATGAGGAATACATATCTAAACAGAATGCTTTAGTTTCTCTTCAACTAACTCGATGCACCGGTGCAAAACTAACTGAACTGGTGCCAAAGCACAAAGGATGCCATCAGCTAGCTCACCACAGCCGCTCTCATTTCCAGCCTGGATTCCCATGGTCAATGTCCGAAGAGGGAGTAGCCACTCTGAGTAGGCTTTTCGGAGTGTATTCTCTTCAAGCACACCCGTTTGGTTTGTTTTCCCTGCATTACATGGACACCAAAGTGGTAGATTAATTAGCAACTTTGCTTCAGATTTAATTCTAAAAGATAACAGGAATAATACAAGGCACTTCTCAGCAACAACCCGAATAATACAAGGCACTTCTCAGCAACAACCCGACCATTGTGAAGCTCTCGAGATATACCTCACATATATATTTCTTTTTTCGAAAATGAAATGTGAGGATTGCCAATACATATAGCTTCAGTTTGCACATACTTTCTCCTCCTACGTGAAAACGGCCTATTTCCAAATCATGTTTTCTCAACCATTTAAACAGAAAACAGGAAATACCTACATTTTGCCCCTTGGAAACTTGTGGCAATAGTTTAAGAAAAGTAAAGAGGACTTTTGGCAAGGCATTCTGCTCCCGCTATATGATCTTCCATTTGAAATTTAAACAAAGCCATCGAGAGCACAAATTTGTCTTTAATTATGCTATACACACCCATCAATAACGAATATGTCACACTTTAATAGTTGTTCAATAAAGGCATTGTGTTAGACAATAATTTACCCAAAATTTAAAAAGATTTTATGCTTTGGGCTAATAATTTATATCAATTTAACTTAGGAACCCCCACCTCCACTCCATCCCCCTTCCCAGGACAGGCATCCAGCATAAGCAACTCAATTGAAAAAGTAAGGATGGGATTAAGTAGAGATACTTAAAAAGTAAAAAACCTGATTCAACTTGTTGACTTACTTAAAGTTTGGTCTTTGTAGAGGGGATGAAAACTTGACTCTCATCCATCTTTTAACATATGAAAGCTACAATTATAAAGATACATAACTATGCCATTATCAGAAATCACTGACCTTTATTGGTAATTCAAGGTTGCCACCAAGAATCAAGACGTATACAAGGATAATTTCACCTTTTTCATTTGCATTTACACCTATGTTACCCTGGTATTTCTACCGTGAAGCCATCCCCATACCTAACACGTATCCGACACTTACCCGTACCCAAACTTCATGGACACTCCTTGAATATACATTTATTCAGACATGTACTTAATTATATGACACATGTTTTAATTTAAAATACTTATCATACGCTTCTTGGACGTATATCCTAGACTTCCATGTCCATTTCTTGAAACTTGTTAGACATGGATAGGGTTTGCTTCAGCCCATATCCAAGTTAAAAACAATGATTTAAAAGGGTGGTCTAAGTGTCTAGTTAAAAAAATGTACATTTTTCAATTTATCATAATCAACATAATAAAAGAAACTTGAAAATATGATAGGAATTTAAATTCAAATATGACATGAATTGAAAAATAATGATGATCTCACGCAAATTATTAATTTTGTTATATATGTAGCCGTGTACCCATACCCTACATTTCATAAATTTGTCGTGTGACTCCTGTCTCATACCTGCATTCGCACCCATACCGGAACACATACCCGTTTCCATGCAACTTAGATTTTCGCACACATTTACTTCTTTTAAGTCACTAATACTTCTTTTAGTCAAGACAATGTATCAGGAAGATTAAACACTTCCACCTCCAGCTTTTTTAGATTAGTTGTCAAATCTCATGTGGGCTTTTCTTTGTGAACAACAGGGATCCAACTGTTGAGTTCTGGCATATATGTGTTGCTTTACATAACTGTTCGAGTCAAAAGTTGGTTCTGTTGAGGAATTCATTATAACTTTGTTTGATTACAACAAACTCGAAAGAATGATCTTTTTATAAGACTTTTTCTACACAACAAAACGAGAATTACAACTCTTGAGAAACAAACACAAAAATCGTCTATCGATCTTTGTTTTCGTGGGACTTTGCCTGTGCCGGGAACGCTTTGGTTCGTGGACCGCCGACTCACAGATCGTGAAGAGGGGGTTGACTGATTCTGACTTCGTTTATCGAAGTGAGAAATTAAAACGATATCTTATCGAAGTAAGATAGTCGTTCTTCTTAAAATCAAGTCAAAGCTTAATTTCAAGGCGTTGCAAGAAAAACTCAAATCTGCTCTCTCTGCTCTGGAATGCTCGTAAAAATGCTCGATCTGATCAGCCCCTCTCAAAAATGGTCTTCGGGGGTATTTATAGCCCCAATGAACAGTTGGCGGAAAACAGGCTCGCGAGACAGCATTTGCTGTCTCGGCTGTCGAGACAGTATTTGCTGTCTCGGCGGGCGAGACAGTGTTTGCTGTCTCGGCCCGCGAGACAGTGTTCGCACGGCGAGACAGTAAAGTTTGTCTCGCAGGGCGAGACAGTAAATACTGTCTCGCACGGCGAGATAGTAAATACTGTCTCGCGTGGGCGAGACAGTAAAAGTCTGTCTCGCCCGCGAGACAGTAAAGACTGTCTCGCGTGCGAGATAGTCTATACTTGTGTTCTTTTTGACATTTTGGATGATCTCCTTCTGAGCTGTATTTGGATATCTTTCAGCATTTTTTAACGCCTACAATAACATGTAATGGAAATTACAGATAACTAACTAGACAATTGTGGTTATTATTGTTTGCGTTGACTATTCAGATGTCAACAAAACACTGGTAGATTATATAGCTAAGTAGACCAGTGCACATGTATCGCATAAGGAGATGATTCTAAGGCTCCAAAGGAAATTTTCCAACATGTACTACATCTGCCTTAATGCCAATACTTACCAGGTTCAATTGCACTATGCAAGCAAGGCATGAACAACTGAAATAATATGTGCCCTGCATTATGTGATATGTTAGATATCCCTCTTGTCTCATAGTATGACTTAAGCTACCACAAGATGGATATGGATCCACAGAAGCCTCTTCAATCCTCTAATTGGATCTAAACTTGATCTCCACATTTCTTGTACCTAAATAGTAGATATCCTGATTGATTCTTTAAAGCATATCTTAAAGAAAATAGCAAGAGAAAACTTGCTTTAGGAACTTTTCAAACTGGAAAAAGAAAGGCTTCAGAATACTCTCTCCGACAGTAAGCACTTACCAAATGCTTCTACTTAGGACAATGTTAGCTTGCTAACGATCCCCACCGTACATTCCAACCATTAAGATTAACCTTCCATACTCTTCACTCAAAAGCAAGACGTAACAGTTCATCAAACCTGAATGCTGTGTGTAAACCTGAAAGCTACGTTACATAGACACAGGTACGGATGCAGACACTTGTTCAGTTATGGGACATGGAAAATCAGTAAAAGGAGGGTATGCGAACATGGCTACACATACATGTATATATAATAATAATTTACATGAGATCAGTATTATTTTTTTGGTTTCACACGCTATGAAACAAATTTCCCATAACATTTACATGTTTCATTTGTCACATAGATATAAATTAGAAAATTGCTCATTTTTTTAACTTGATATCCAAAATACCCTTTATGTTCATAATTCTGAAGTGGATGCGGGCTGAAACGAACCTGACTTACGCCCAACGAATTTCAAGAATTGCAAGTGTAGGATGTACATCTAAGAAGTATATGATGAGTGTTTAAATCAGAACATGTCTTAAATAATTGAGTACACATTTGAATCAAATGTATGCAAATATCCAAGGAGTATTCACAGCTACATGTACGACAGGGGGACAGCTCCAGTTAGAAGTACGCGTGCAACATAGCTTGAAAATAGCTCACCTTAAATTTTAGTATTCATTGCTCAATTCATAACTTAATATCCATTAGTTGCAAGCACTGGGAGGATTTTGAACAACTGTCCAAAGGCCAAGCATAATTATGTTTGATTTGGTGTAGTTGGAGCCCATGTTTCAACTTTCAACTACATCAAAAATTCAAGAGTCTTGTTTGGCATGGTGTTGCAACAGCAAAAGATTGTTGCAACAACAAACTAAGATAAAAATAGGGATGTCAGGACAACGCTCGATTTCAAGGGTGTTCCAACACCAAGAATTGGAACAACATGGTGTTTTTAAAAACATTTGTTGTTCAATTCCTCTAACCAAACACACCACATAGTAAAATGACGTCCAGCTACAAGAAATATATTTAAAAATGATGAAACCTTTAGATTGGCACTTAATAGAAAACCAACTCAAATCTATTCCAGTTTCAAATACAATTAGCCAGAGGTACAATACTGCCATGACTTCTTTCATTCTATTCCTAGTTGACGTTTAGTGTACTAACATATTACTCTCACGGAAAAAAAAAAGTGGTAGGTTCTGTAGACAATCCATCATCTTACTTCTGACCTATAAGATGCATTGAATCCGTTAGTTGTTTTAATAAGCTTCAGCACTTTTATTTTTATCTTTTTTGTTTTTTCCTTTTTCCTTTTTCTTTTTCTTTTTATTTTTTTTGTTGTTGTGGGTGGGGGGGTGGGGGGGGGGCGGTAGTTATTAGATTTCTGATTTCCTAAACAAACTGGGTGAACTGAGAAGAAGGAAATTATCAAAGAAACAAGCACTTGAAAGATAATAAAAAGATAAAAAAAAATAATGAAATGACAACTGAATACTAACCACTTGACTCCAGTATTAAAATAAACCTGTACAAGTTGAGAGCAGATAGAACCTGCACATGCAAAAAGTAATTCAAACATCTAATAAGAATAAAACTAGACATGAAACGTTGATATCAGAAAGTTTTTTTTTAAAGGGAACCCCCCTAAGTTCAGCCCTATTTCACCCTTAATTACTCGAGTTTCAAAAAACCACCCCTATTTTTCATTCCGTCTACATATAACCAACAACAACCAAGCCTTTATCCCAAATGTTTGGGGTCGGCTATATGAATCCTATTTTTCCATTCTATTTTGTTATGGATCATCTCCTCCGTTAAGTTAGTCTTAATCATATCCTTCTTAATTGCTTCTAACCAAGTCATTCTAGGTCTCCATCTAGATCTCCTATCTCCATTAACTCTAATATTATCGTTTTTCCTAATCGTTGCACTAAGGGGTCTTCGTTGTACATGACCAAACCATCTTAATCTATTCTATCTCATTTTATCCTCAATAGGCGCAACCTCAAATTTAGTACGGATGCACTCATTTCTTATACTATCTTTTAATGTATACCCACAAGACCATCGCAACATTCTCATTTCTGCTACACTCATTTTTTCTGTTTATATTAATGAAAGACCAATTATATCCCTTTTAGGAGGGTCTATTTCACAAAACCACCAATAAGTTCGGTTATATTTCATGAAACCACCCTAAATTATCCAAACTTGAAATATCACCCTTAATTACTTCCTGTTGGTCGTAATTAAGATTACTTCCTGTTGGTCGTAATTAAGATTACTTCCTGTTGGTCGTAATTAAGATGATTGTAATTACGATGATCATAATCAAGAAGATGATTGAGGGTTTTCTTTAGATTGCAAGGAAGAAGAACATCTTGTAATCTCAAGTAATAAAGTTGACTCCTTTCTCTCCCCGTGGATGTAGGCCATAGTTGACCCATGTTATATCGTCATCTTTGTGGTTAGTGCTACTTTTCCGCTTGCTTGCCATTATGTTTTTAATTGTGCTCAGCTTTCTTTACAAGATATTGATTAGCATGGTTGATATATCCATTGCTAGAGTAATTCTCTTTTGTTGAAGTAGATCTAATTGGTCTGCCCCTATGCTACCCCGCAAGTACATTTCCAACAGTAATATAATGTAAAATTTTATCTTCTTTTTTAATTAATACATATGTTAGTCAAAAGTCGTTTAAGATGGAAAAGCAGCAGCATAATTGAATGCAAAAGATTTCCACAGTCAGTATCCTTAGCCAACAGAAGAAAAAAAAATATCAAAGTCCATTGAAGATCCTATAAGCAACATCCCAGATAAAATTATATGCAAATCTGTGAAAACTAATTACTTTACCAACAATCTGATTGCCAAGAACTAATAAACACTCAGCATCAAAGAAATTCTGAATGCTTTGGATTTATTTTCTACAATTCAAAAAGTTCTACCCTAAAGGAGAGTTCAATATAAAATTAGGGATACAACCATCATCATTTAGGGTACTTCCAAAATTTTCGAGAGAAGGTTAAAACAGTCAAATTTTCCAAAAAAATAGTCAAAATAACAAAAGAGAAACTTAAAATATCTTTCGGGTGACTTAGGAGCATAATAGTGTGTTAAATATAAATGAGAGGCGATGATGAAGAAAAGTTAAGGCAAGGGTAAAAAGTAATTCTGAGGAAAAAGGGAAATGAACATTTTTCATCATAAAAATAGTGAGGGTCGCACAACATGAATACCGGTTCACTATGCTCGGGTAGGGGAGGAGGCCCTCCTTGTGGAGGCTTTAAAATAAGCTCCACCACATCAAGGACATGAGGAGTCCAAAATGGACAGCTTTCCTTGTAAATTTGCCCTTTGGTGGTTTCATCTGCTCCTGGTGTTATTTTCTGATGACTTTCCACATGTATTTCCTCCTTTACAATATCTACGAGTAGTGCCATCTGTGAACAATCATCATGTATATCACAAGCGAGAGGTTGAACAGCACATAGAACAAACTATTTGGAGCTTACCATGGAAGGAGAAACACTATTGGTAATAAGAGCCTTTAACACATCAAACCTTTCACTGCACGGGAGACTCGAGACCACCTGGTGACATTTTAATTTTGCTATGAGATTTTATAGAAATAAAAGGAATTAGTCCAATCATTTAAAAAAAGGGAACTAGAGTGATACAACCATTAAAAGAAAAGCCATGTCAGCGAAGAGTTTATTCTGTTATATGCAATGCTTATTACTGATGATTATAAACTTCAAAAACTCAATATGGTCAAAACAGATTTAATCTAAGGGCAAGGAAGTTGCACGCAATGCAATTTGATGGACGCATAACAAATATAATCAGTTGGAAAGCATCACCTAATAAAAAATTGTTAAAATGATCTGCAGGCTAAAATCGACTATCAGAATGCATTATTTATATGACTTGCTCACATTTGTAACAGAAGTAATGAATAGAATAGCAGGAAATTAGATCATTATGCTTGTTCTCTTGTATTCAAAACTCTAATCAGACAAACATGCTTTCCTCCCACAAATAGAATGCTGATCTTATTCTTAATTACATTATGACTAAGAAAATGAAATCATACAAACAAGATAATATCAGACCCAATACTCTATAATCAATACCATGCTGTCACATTAAGCGCTTAAGTTCAAGAAGCATGTGAATGATAGAAACTTTAAAATGCATGCAAGGTTGTTAACAACATGCCTTCCTCAGCGCACCAAAAGTTCTCTTCCTTGAAGATGCATCTGGAGCACCAATAACAGTCCTTTCAATGCCCTGAAAAATTACTATCTGAGCATACAGAATTAGGAAAGTACCTTTCAGACTACTATCAAAAGAAAATCATACCTTGAGAACAGCAAATATACCGGGCATAAAAGAGGCAAAGTCAATAGACTTGTCGTAAGCTTCTTTAGGATCAACGCCACCCATAATGCTCAATAATAGATCAATACTATGAGATTTTATTTCCCAAGGATAATGAATGGATGAAAATATAGATTTCAACATGCATACAGCTAGCCATCTTTTATTAGAATGATTTCGAATAATATTGAGAGTGGCATCAACCTGTTGACCAGCAGCATCTGCAACTTTATCCGAGATAAGGCCCCAAATCACTAACAGAGCAGGTCAGACAGAATGAAATACATCAGACTTGATAAAAGCAGGAAAGAAAGGTAATACAGCAGTAACAGAAAAAACTGGATCAGAACCAGCAAGATCTCAAAATAAATACATAGAAAGGACCAACCTGCAAGAGATGCCCCATCCAATGCGAAGGAAAAGCAAGCCATAACGTCATCACCATCCACTAAATCACTTTAGAGAAGATGGATAAGAGGACAAGAAACTAACTACAATACTTATTAGCAGAAAAAATTTGAGAGCAACTTGCAGTGAAAATCAGAGAAATTAACGGTTACTTTTGGAGATCTTGCCCGCAATTGAGTTAAAATCGCTTCCAGTTATAAGACCACTGTATGATAACCCACAAAACCTGAGGAAGCGTGAAAATTCCACGACATGCAGACAAAGACTTGAAGCTCTATGTGCACGTCTGCTCCTTGATACAAGAGCCTGAAAATATGAAGCTCAAGTTAAAAAAGGAGAGTCATTATCACAAATTTAAAAATGGCACAAATAAAAAAGTCAAATGATTTGTAGTTCTTAACTATGTTTTGCAGAGCATATAAACCCAGTATTGCACAAAGCTCTTGTTTCATTCTTTCTTCCTGTAGCGATTATGTGAAAATTTCACAAACATTAGAATGTAAGTTCATATAAAAGAGAAATATGCATCAAGATTCACCAGAATTAAGATTTGACCAATTCTTCGCAAATTTTTTGGATAGAAGTCCCAATGCTATATGCTGCTCCAAACAACTCATCCAGAGAATTTCTGTCTCCCTCATCAGTGTCCGATGAAACTTCATATATAACTTTTAAAATAACAGGCAATGCCACTTTTAGTTGCTCAATCTGACGCCTTTGAATGCGACGAAATACTGTAACAACATATATATGAAGTTTGTTAATACCAAATCCTGCTAAACATTTAACATTACACTGGGTAAACAAAACAAATGGGAATCACAGTTGTTACACTTTACCAAAAAACCTTTTAACTGATAATTCTCCTTAAACCAGCATTAAGACATATCAGCTACAGAAAACATCGGCCTTTCAGTTTCTCAGTACAAACAAAACAAAAAAAATCATCTGCAGGAGAAGAAAGCAGGGTGACTAGTGCTTAAGAAAATAAGACAGGAATGAGAATATATGAATCCATTCAATTTATCTTCATGACGCTTATGGGAAATATGCACTCAAGTTTTTCTGTCTGCCACTTATGAGACCAGCTTCAGACATCTGACAATGGGGCACCAATATGGGACATATCTATTCCCTGTGTATCACTATAATACAGAACTTCATCGCTGAGAAGAGCCTCAATAAGAGAAGTATAAAGCTTGTTAAAATTTCACCACGGACTGTAATGTGTCAGTCTCCAAAAATTGAAGCTAAAAGATGTGGGATTGTCTGATTCTCCGACATTCTGGGTGGGCAGCAATTGCAGAGGTAACAGCTGCAGTACTAGCTTTTCATCCACATCCTCTCCCTCCCTCCCTGAATTAAAATAGTAAGGTGTGGAAAGCTAACATCCATGGCTGGCTTGTTCATCCACATCCTCCCCCTCCCTCTCTAAATTGAAAATTATAAGGTGTGGAAAGTGGACATCCATGGCTGGCTTGTTCGGACATAATTGGAAACCATATTTTCATATACTTAAGCCTGTGATAATGCTTTTCACCAGCTGCTTTATGCTTAAATGGCCATTTAGATACTATGAAGACTGCCTAAGAGCCTATCTGAATGCGGCTAAGAGCCTATCTGAATGCGGCCATCTATTACAAATGTGCCGCTGACGTATTATAAATGACTATCACAACCGGGAGAGTTAATGATATTCTTAATGGACCACCCAAGTACAGTAAGGTTGTTATGGAGTAAGTTGATGATGGTGTAAAAGGTAAACGGAGCCATGGAGGTGGAGATTGGTAAGAAAATCATAGGGTCACTTAAATCAATTCAATTTTGTGTTCAAGATCTCAAAGTTCTTTGCCATCCTCACATAAAATAGAGTACAACTAAAACAGTGAATTTTTTTGAAAAAGATCATAGTGTAGTTGACATGTCATATATTCCATAATTAACAGGAAGTCATACCACAATAATGAAGGTCTAGTAATACTTTGGTGCTCTCAGACCCTCAAGTCAAGATTCTGACACAAGTCGCATTACAAAAATTTCAGTCAATCCTTCTAAGGATACTTCTCAACACACAACTAGATCCCTCAAACGAGATTAGATCCGCAATTTACATGTCGCACCAACTTCTCATAAACATTTTGGAGTTATTGATCAGTATACGTATGCATCTCTGTTGTGAGTTACCAATTTGTACGTGTGTGTGCTGCAATTCATTTTTGGAGTTATTTATCAGTCCATGCATATGCATTTCTGTTCTGACTTGTGTGTCTCTGTGTGCTGAAATCACAAATGAAACATAATTTATTCTTTGTAAGTAAATATGATACAAGAATATATGACACTACAAGAGGGAAAAGTCTTCAAAAGTGTAATTGTATGTTAGATGGAAAGACCAAAACCATGTCCAGCAGCAACAGGAATATGTTTGCTTGCAGTACTCATGTATTTCTACTTACCATGACATGGAAAAATATTAAGAAGGGAATACATATCTTTGTTTTCAATAGTAGTGAGGTCATAAGTATTAGTCCAGTTACAACATGAATGTCTGCATAGACAAGCCTTGCACAAACACATATATAGATACTTTATGACATTCAAGGAAGTAGATCTTGAAGAGTAGATGAACAAAAGAACTGATGGTACCTTTTGAGAGCTCATTCAGAAGTAGAACATAGTAGATTGGTGCTCTGGACACATTTATATGGCTGTCTAATGCCTGCAGTTCAAAGATAAGGATGGCACTAAAATTAATCCAAGGATAATCTTACCAAGGAGAAAAAAAAGTCAGTTATTAAGAAGAGTGTGTAGCAGTTCAAAAAAATCTTTTGAAAAAAAAAACAGAATATATCATTTACACATAGCTGCAATAAATTCATGGTCAATATCAAGAAGCAAGTGTGATAAAAGCAAGATCATTTAAACAAAATATAAATAGAGAGGGGCAAACAAATATGGACAATGCGTCAGACATATTTTTACAACAACGATAGAACCCAATCCAATTATACACAGTGCTGCTACATCATACAATCAGACTAATAAAATTCAAGCATACTACAATCCATGGCAAGTAAAATAATCTTACATGACAGTTGACAGATTGATGTCCAATCTCATCAAACTCACTTTTGGTTCTTAAAATGTCATGGCAAATATATTTTTCTTTCTCACTAACTAGTAAGGGCATATATATCAAGATTTACTCAGTAGCTTTTGTCACTCTTTAAGCCAATATTTTTGAGTTTAAAAGCAATATATGGAATACTAAATACTAATAAGTAGAGTACATTCACTAAATGATATGCAGGTTTAAGAAAACAGTCAAGGAGTTCTTCAAGGTCATAAAATTATTTAGGCAAATATAGATATTTCAGATCATACAGTAGCTGAGGAATTAAAATAGCCCAAATCAACAATATTTCTTCATGTGAAGTCAATGGACAGTGAAACATAATAAAAGAGCCCTAAATATTCACAAAACAAGGTGTTTCACCGTGAATGCATTAGGCTTGAGATTTTGGTCGTGAAAAAAGATTCAATATAATGTTCCATATATTCTGTTTTTTGTTCAAGCAATCTAAAAAAGAAATCATTGAGAAGGCTAAAGAAATGTAGATAATCAAAAGATAAATTATTGTACCCCAAAAAGGAAATAATATCCCAAATTCAGGGTTAAACTAATGTGATGACTACTCTGATCTGCATATAACTATGCATAGTCCATATCAAATTGTCAAAGTCATGAATATCTCAAGGTCCAACAAAAAGAAAAATGAAATGATAGGAAAAGAAAAAGAAAAGGGAATGATCCACTGTCAAGTCTGTCATACTGGATTAATCTTGCTAACTCATAAATGAACCTATCTTCCTCTACCTCAAACGACGCATGCTAAATACTAAAGGGCATGCCAAATTACAGGGACAATCAGATATCAAATCTCTAACCAATACTGATCGATTAAATTTTGCATGAAGATGCAGCATCGGACTTCTGCTGGTATATTCCTTTTCTCAATTATCAGAAGAAAAGCATATGATCTAAACTGCTTGAACAATTTGGACCACATTTTTGGTCCTGCCGTAGAGAAGTTTCCAACGAGGACATAAACCCCGCCAAATTATTCTAGTTAGAAAGCTTAGGACTAAGATCTGTATGAAGCAGTCAGAAAATATTGTATAATCAATAGGTGCCCACCTCACAAAGTATGGACAGCATGTCACGTGGGTTGCAGATGCCTACAAGGTTCTTAATGACATCCCCCGCAATCTCCTCGCACTTGTCTGATAGAGATGCAAACCTAATAACCACCTTTGGGAACTCAAGAGAGAGTGCATCAACTGCCATCTGCATCAATTAGTTAACTCAGGAAAAAAGACAATTATCTGTGCTTTTTATAAGAAATCTGCATACATGCTCAAATCTGCAAACATGCTCCCTCAGAAAATTATCCTACTAAAAACACAGAAAGGACTATCCTGCTAAAAGATTACAATCGACATAAGCTCCAAAAAACAAATAATTGTCTTAGGGTGGAAATGTTAATTTTGAGCTTTTTTAAAGAGAGTATCATCTCGCGTATCCAAGTTTTTTTTTCCCCTTTTCTACACTTCCATTTATCAAGCAAAATATTAGCTGGAAAGAAAAACAGAAGGTGTTAACTCGGAGGAAAAAGAGAAAAAGTAGATTAATTCACAATGCAAAAAAAACGAGTTTCCAATATCAATGTAAAGGCAATACTTATCTACATTATAATCACAACTTTAGGGTATGTCCAAAAGCATAAGTATTGAGGGATCTATCACAAAATGAATAAGACCAAGGACTAGATCGGAGTCATGCAAGGAGAGTAAGTGACTGATTTAGTTAAATTTTTTGGAGGGAAGAAGTTGGCAAAGAACATCCATTCTCTATCAAGGCATAAACCTAATATATATACAAGCAAGTTATACGGTCAATATAGGATGACATTACCTAATAATACAAATAACTCCTAAAACACAAATGCCAATTGCTACCTCAACATTACAATTAATTATACCCATCATAAAAGTATTGCACACCAAGATGGTTTACTATAAATACACCATCAAACTAGAGAAAAGGCCACCACCTGTCAAGTCCAACCGCACAGGATCAAGACAAGTAGAGAGATGCATACTTGCCAAATGAAGTAGTCTCAAATGGTTGCTAAATAAACAAAGAAGAAGCTTGAGCCTAAGGCAAAATGAGACAGGAGGAAATTTGGAGTGTGCATAGAAATAATATACATATCGGACATGAATGTAAGCCTAAACCAACAATTTTCACTTGGTCCTTAAAAAAAGGCAAATATCGTGAATAACAACATTAAAGGGAGCTTGAACGGCAAATTTACACAAGCATATATTCTTCTTAGTTGCTACCTTAAACCACAATTAGTCATACGCTTAACACTTTCAAGGTATGTAGTCTATGCCTAAAGCTTGAAACTTTTAGCATTCGTAAGAACGTATAATCCTTGATCTACAAGTAGCCAGTTTTCCTAAATTCTTCACAACCACACGAAATATAATCAGCTAAAACTTCGCCTGAGACGCAATTTTCCAACAACAAATACAAATAGGTTCCTAACACAGATGTAACCCTAGATATCAATTTTGAGATCGGAAATGCAAATCGACAAAAATCAAGCACCCGATTGGATTGCTGTGATGAGAGAAATCGATCGATCTCGATGAGAACATCCTCGGCATCAGGCGGCGGCGCTTCGGCGATGGAATCGAGGAGGGACACCGCTCCGGCAACCGCCTCGTCGGATTCGGCGATGTCTCCGGTTTCAAAGGACTATTAAGAGAGAGAATGGGATTAGGAACGCGAACCATGAGAGAGAAACCCTAGAAAGAGGTCGAGGGATTTCGTTGAGATTTCTTTACCTTGGAGCAAGCTTGAAGGGATTCTTTGAGGCGGGACGCGGACATTTTCGTAAATTTCGGGGGTAGAGAGAGCGAGAGGAAGGAGAAGAGGACGCAGGAGGTCGAGAGCGTTCTTTTTGCTGCGCTTATGGGGCTGTTTGGTTCGCTTAAAACGCCCGTGGAAACACTTTTCTGCGCCTGACACCCATCCTGGTCGGGTTTTTTTTCCGCCCGCCCATTTCTGTGTGCCGTTTTGTGTGCCGTTTTGGTTCGCTCGGGAGAAGAGTGAGAACTCTGTTCAAATCGTCGTCGGCTCGGATTTTTTTCCGTCTCTAATTTCCTTCTCCAATCGAGTGAAATTAACGAAAACCCTAGTCACGTCTGATTTTTTTCTTCCTCGTAGATTTCTTTGGTGAGCTATTGTTACCTCCTTGTTCTCCTTCCGCCAGAAACTTCTGGCCTTCTTTGTCCATGTATTCGAAGAAATCTGGGGAGGGGGGTCTGATCTTAACGACAATATTTTATACCTTTATTAAGTTCTTTAATCCACTCAAAAGTGTTTTTAAATATGTTTACAATTATCGAGTTAAAATCAAGTAGTTATGAACTCGTATTTTTGACATTTTTCACAAAACATGATTTTCATAAATATGAGGTGTTATTTGAAAAATTCTCTTTCAAACAAGTTTGTGTTCATCTTTAAAAACTTTCCCCAAATTTTTACCTTTTTAGAGCTCATTTGCTATTTTTTAATTGATTTCTAAAAGTCCGGTTTTTCAAATATATTGTTGATATAATTCTGAGCCTGGTTCATGGATGGCTGGTGGGTGTTTGGTTGGTTGGTTGGTTTTCATGGATGCCTGGTGGGTGTTTCCTGGTTCATTGGCTGGTGGGTGTTTCTTTGCATATTGTTTCCTGGTTTTTGTTGGTTTTCTATTTTGTTTTTGTGTTGGCTTTTGTGGCTGTTTGTGATGATGATTAGCTCATATTGCTCTTTGAGTTCTTGGAAAACAGGTTTTGTGTGCACACATTGTTCAGGTGTTGTTGGTGTTGTTTTGTTCAGGTTTGTTCTCAGCCAGATATTGTGCACATATGACTGTTGGTCTTTTTGTTTTGATGATGTTTTTACAAACAATTAACTACTAATGTTGTTTGTTTAGTGTTTGTGTTTTCCCTACTTATTGTAGACAAACAATATGTCGGATGATGGATGGAATCGAGCATTCACAATCATATCCAATGGAGGTTGCCGAAATAGTGGAATGAAGCAATGCAATTCAAGTTAAAGATCCAATATCAAGCTTCATCCGCAAGTTTACCAAGAAAAGCATATTGAAGATCAATATTGCTTGGGTAAATAGTTTAGGTTTTATATTAGGTGTGTTAAATACTTCAAGCTCAATCATATACACACATACACGTTTTGGTATATATATATATATATATATATATATATATAGTTATATAGTTATATATATACAAGTTTTGGTTTTTGGGTTTTCATGTTTATAAATATGAAATTACATATTCCAATATTTGTTGTTTTGTTTTATTGAAAAATGCATATACTATGCAAAACATCATTTTTGTGAAAATATTATATTCTTAGTTTTTAGACTTAACAATCACCATATAGATATTTCATTAAGTCTATAAAATCATTTTACAAAGTTTTAAAAAAAATTTAAGTCATTTGTCAAAAACATGTATGTTTAGTTTTCATGTTTTTGGATATTTTTGGAAAATAATGATATTTTACAAATGGAAAGTGCAATTCAAAAAATTCTTTTTGTAACATGTTCATTAACATGTTTATAAACATTTTCCGAAATTTTATATTTTTTAGAATTTATTTACTATTTTTTAAGACACTTCAAAAGTCAATTTTTGGACATGCACAGTCCCTGTGCATGTTCATAAGTCGACTTATAGCAAGTCGATTACAAGTCGACTTATAGCCTATTTTTTGTGTGTTAATTTCCTCTGGTAAGTCGACTTATGCCATTGTTAAGTCGACTTATAAATATGACCGTTGTACAATAACGACTATTTTCCAGATTTGTTTTTGTGAGGTTTTTTGGTCATTTTGTTTGGGTTTTTGCTGATGTTTTGGGTGGCTATAAATACCCCATTGTATTTATCTCTCCCACCCACTAAGAGAAGTTTTTCATCAAGTTTTAACAAGGGTTGAAGTTTAGTTTAAGTTTGTTTAAAAAGCTTTTAAGCATTTTACAAGTTTGGTTTTGTGAAGAGAATTTCACAAGAGCTTGTGGAGATCATCCATTGGTGTTTGAGCATTCAACTCTTCTCCCTCTCTCTTGTTATCATAGAGAGTTTTTCTAAACTCTTATCTAGCTTTTTATATTGTTTGATTTTCATTTCCTTAAGCTATAATTTATATTGAGTTTAGATTTGTTTTGATTATACTCATTTGTTCACACACAAACCTATTTAACTTATAGTATTTCATACATAGTATAATTTGGGGTTGTGAGATTGTGGCATTGAAAGTGAGCTTACACTTAGTTCTCATCTTGTATTATAGAACAATCGTTGTATTTATGCTTAATTGTGTAGTTCACTTTGTAATATACTTGTACACCGAGAGGTGTGTGTGGTGAGAGACGGGGTCGTCCCAAGAGAAGTGGGGTCGGTGGTAATGCCTAGAGGTAGATCGTAATTCCGAGCACTTGAGGGAGACACGGGCTAGAGACCAACACTTAGAGGGTGTAGAGTGGGATTGTAAGAGTGTTGATTGTAAAGTTTTCGATGAACTAGAAAACCGAGTGTGAGGTGTAAACGTTTTCGGGTGAGCGTCAAAAACCTGGTGTGATAGTGGATCTCTCTCTAGGAGTGGGGAGGGGAGACGTAGGACGGAAGGTCCGAACTCCGTGATCATCTTTGTGTGTTTGTAATTGCCTTGACGTCTCACTTGTGCTTATTGTTCATTTCATTCTTGTCGCCATTGTCTATTGCTTATAGTGACCACTATCTTGTTTATTTTGTAGTTTGTTTATTTTACCATTTGTTTACATTGCTTATCCTTGCATATAATTGTTATATATCTTATTTGCTAGGATAACTTGTTAATAAGTTTTTAATTAGCATAAAATTGGATTAGATTAGCATAAGACCATATTCATCCTACCCCCCCTCTAGGGTCTAACAATGACCAGTTTTGTAAGAGGTGTTGCTCGTTCATATATGCTCAGGTTTGTTCTCAACTAGTGGTATGTTAGTTCTAGTTGAGCCCATGTTAGTTTTAGTGGCTCTCGTGTTAGTTCTAACTGATGTCATGTTAGTTCTAACTCTCGGCTAGTGTTATTTATAATATAGGCGTTAGTTCTAGTGGTATGTTAGTTCTAGTTGAGCACATATTAGTTCTAGTGACTCTCGTGTTAGTTCTAGCTGATGTCATGTTAGTTCTAACTTCTAGCTAGTGTTATATCTAATATAATTATTCTCTTCTAGTGGTATGTTAGTTCTAGTTTAGCCCATGTCAGATCTAGTGGCTCTCGTGTTAGTTTTAGCTGATGTCATGTTAGTTCTAACTTCCAGCTAGTGTTATTTCTAATATAAGCGTTAGTTCTAGTTGTCTGTTAGTTCTAGTTGAGCCCATGTTAGTTCTAGTGGCTCTCGTATTAGTTCTAGCTGATGTCGTGTTAGTTCTAACTTTTAGCTAGTGTTATTTCTAATATAAGTGTTAGTTCTAGTAGTATGTTAGTTCTAGTTAAGCTCCTGTTAGTTCTAGTGGCTCTCGTGTTAGTTTTAGCTGATGTCATGTTAGTTCTAACTTCCAATTAGTGTTATTTTTAATATAAATGTTAGTTCTAGTGATCTGTTAGTTCTAGTTGAGCCCGTGTTAGTTCTAGTGGCTCTCGTGTTAGTTCTAACTGATGTCGTATTAGTTCTAACTTGCAGGTAGTGTTATTTCTAATATAAGCGTTAGTTCTAGTGGTATGTTAGTTCTAGTTGAGCCCTTGTTAGTTCTAGCGGTTCTCGTGTTAGTTCTAACCGATACCATGTTAGTTCTACTTCCAGCTAGTATTATTTCTAGTGGTATGTTAGTTCTAGTTGAGCCCCTGTAGTTCTAGTGGTTCTGGTGTTAGTTCTAGCTGATTTCATGTTAGTTCTATTTCTAATTAGTGTTAAGCTAGTGTTATTTCTAATATAAGCATTAGTTCTAGTGGTCTGTTAGTTCTAATTGAGCCCCTGTTAGTTCTAGTGATTCTCGTGTTAGTTTTAGCTGATGTCATGTTAGTTCTAACTTCCAGCTAGTGTTATTTCTAATATAAGTGTTAGTTCTAGTGGTATGTTAGTTCTAGTTGAGCCCCTGTTAGTTCTAGCGGTTCTCGTGTTAGTTCTAGCTAATGTAATGTTAGTTCTACTTCCAACTAGTATTATTTCTAGTGGTATGTTAGTTCTAGTTGAGCCCATGTTAGTTCTACCTGATTTTATGTTAGTTCTACTTCCGGTTAGTGTTATTTCTAATATAAACATTAGTTCTAGTGGTATGTTAGTTCTAATTGAGCCCCTGTTAGTTATAGTGATTCTCGTGTTAGTTTTAGCTGATGTCATGTTAGTTCTAACTTCCAGCTAGTGTTATTTCTAATATAAGCGTTAGTTCTAGTTGTCTGTTAGTTCTAGTTGAGCCCATGTTAGTTCTAGTGGCTCTCGTATTAGTTCTAGCTGATGTCGTGTTAGTTCTAACTTTTAGCTAGTGTTATTTCTAATATAAGTGTTAGTTCTAGTAGTATGTTAGTTCTAGTTAAGCTCCTGTTAGTTCTAGTGGCTCTCGTGTTAGTTTTAGCTGATGTCATGTTAGTTCTAACTTCCAATTAGTGTTATTTTTAATATAAATGTTAGTTCTAGTGATCTGTTAGTTCTAGTTGAGCCCGTGTTAGTTCTAGTGGCTCTCGTGTTAGTTCTAACTGATGTCGTATTAGTTCTAACTTGCAGGTAGTGTTATTTCTAATATAAGCGTTAGTTCTAGTGGTATGTTAGTTCTAGTTGAGCCCTTGTTAGTTCTAGTGGCTCTCATGTTAGTTCTAATTGATGTCGTGTTAGTTCTAACTTCCAGCTAGTGTTATCTCTAATATAAGCGTTAGTTCTAATGATATGTTAGTTCTAGTTGAGTCCATGTTAGTTCTAGTGGCTATCGTGTTAGTTCTAGCTGATGTCGTGTTAGTTCTAACTTTTAGCTAGTGTTATTTCTAACTTCCCGTGTTTGTCTACAATGGGGGTAACCTTATCATGGTAACCATAAACACTTTTTCCTACCCACTTCAACACCAACCAAACATAAGAAAAGTAGAAAATGTCAAATCAACAAAAGTTTTTCATTTTTCCATGCAAACCAAACACAAGAAAAGTATATACATTAGTTTCTCACCATATTTTACATGCGAACCAAACCAAACCAATCAATTTCTTGGAAAAGTTTGGAAAATTCAAAACTTGAGTTTCTTTACATGTGATTGCATTTCCCTATATATAGGAAACGAACCAAACAGCCCCTATAAATAGGACCTGGATTTTTGTAGCACCAATCTAACACGAATCTCGACTATCGAATTATTTTTGCACGGTTGCGTAATTTCCACGGTGTGAATCTGATTTTGGTTCTGTCAGGCTAAATGACAGTTGTCCATCAAGTAAATAAAGACTCCTTTAATTAATTTTTTTAGGGTTGTTTGCACTTAAATATTCCTAAGTTTACCTATTTTTTAGCTTTGATACTCTAGAATTTTATTTTGCCTAAAAAATAACCAAAGTTCAACAAAATTTAGCTTTGGAAGTTTTTTTTTAAAAAAGACCTCTTTTAACTTTATTAGCAATATTGACTTCTTGTGGATTTAATTAGAAAAATCAACCTCTTTGATCAATTTTGCAATATATAGTTTTTAAAATACACAGGACTAGTAGTCCTATGTATTTTAAAGCTTCATTATTACAAAATCGACCTGGCAAAAAAGAGGTCGATTTTGCTAATAAAATTTTAAAAAGGGTCTTTTTTAAAAAATTCCCCTTTAACTTTCAAATCCTAAAGTTTTAATGCCCAAAATGCCCCAAAGTTCAACACATTTTAATTTCGATACCCCATAGTTCAACGAACTAAAAAATCTTCTTTAGTATGTAATTTTTTAGAGTAGGATGTGAGGCAGGGTAGGGTGGTGATAGAGAAAATACATATTAAACTAAAATTTTTAGAGAGATAGATCCCTTCAAATTGGAGACACGATGTGAAGATAGAGAACTTTATATTGTAAAGGACTTTCATATCCTTACATTTTTTGCATGATTACCCATTTTTGTTACATTATCCAACCTCTATCGCATGTTCCTACCAATTAGTATTATTGTATTTTAACTAATTCAACATCTTACTTCTCTTTCCATACCATCAATCAAACACAAAAAAATCATGTACCCCTGACTCTCGTGGTGCACTCTACTAAACTAAGCATTAACTTTGATTGTTGACCTAATTTTTTTTCTTAATTTCCTGTTAAAGTTTGGGTAATCAAGCTAACTAGATGAGATGCATGTGTGTTGCATGTGATTAAATATCTTGATTACTTATTTTGAGTTTTTTTACCGTAATTAGGTTGCAAAATAGTTTAAAATATGCTAAAAAAATGAATGTCTCTTAGTATAACCTTGTTGGTTTCGATCTCTTACCTTCTGATAAAATAGTAAAGTTTAGGGTCTTAAAATATAATATTATAAATAATAAATAATCCATCTGGTAAACTTGTACGTTTACTTATTTTATGTTCTAATTTTTTTGTGTAAAAGAATATGAGGAAAAAGGACCCACATGTAAAAAAAATTAAAAATATGGAATTAAATATTTTAAAGATGTTTGAGTGTTTATGATGGTATTGCGCAAGTCAAAAGTGAAATTAGCAAAATATGTGGAGTGAATCCATGTGAATCAAAATAGATGGTTGTTTTTTTTGATTCGTTATTGACTTTTTGAGGTTGAGAATGTCTAGAATTTGCCCGCTAGATGAATGGATATTCTATTACCAACCTGACCAATCTAATATTTTTTTAGCGCTACATATAATTCATACACTTACATTAAATATTCATAATAATTATCGATATGAAATTTACTCATTTCAATATCCTCCCATGTATTAATTAAATAATATTACCTAACATTTATAATAATAACCTCCTTGCAACGTCTTAAAATTGAAAAGTTACAAATAACCTCTTTTAAGTTTGAAAATTACAAATAACCCTTTAGAAACTTAAAAATTCAAACACACATGAAAATATGAGAAGTACAAAAAACAACATAGAAGCGAAAATGTAACACTCTGAAAATTTTAAAATTGCAAATAGTCCTCCAAAACCAAAAAAAAAAAGCCAACAGCTTCGGTGCTCCACGACATCTTTTGTAAATAAAAAAGCCTAAAATCTAGCTCTCTAATCCACAATTTAAGGGATTATGCGATTGATAGGCCTTCCACACCTACATTTGTAAATAGGTTGAACTTAGAGGGTAGTTTTGGAGTTGAAAACACACACCTACATTTGTAAATAGGTTGAACTTAGAGGGTAGTTTTGGAGTTGAAAACATCATAGAAAAGGATAAAACTAATATTTGTAAATAGGTTGAACTTAGAGGGTAGTTTTGGAGTTGAAAACATCATAGAAAAGGATAAAACTAATATTCGAGAAGGGTTAGTTTTCTTCAACTAAATTCTCACTTGATCTTTAACAAAATCTAATTTGGCCGTATTCTATCATATTAGATTTCTCTCTTCTATTTTTCCTTCCATATTTATGACAAAAAACTGGTATTATAATGCAAAGTTGTGTTTAAAATAGATATTATTGTTCTTGCTTTTAGTCATATTGTATAAAATTATGCATAACATGCATATGCCAATTCCTTTCTTATCATTATAAAGAGGAATAAAATTAATCGTCGATTGTAAAATTACACTTTTATTTATATTTTCACTGAAAAGATTTAGAACTAAGTTAGAGGATCTTTCTACATACTAACATTAACAATTTGATACCCCATTTACGAGAAAATATTCATTTAGAAATAAGTGTAATAAATTGTATTGATTTATATTCTTTTGTACATTGAAAAATCAAAATCTGAAAATTACACTATTATATGTTTGTTTAAACATGTATATAAGCTCCAAATTAGGCTAAACTAAATTATCAATTTTAACTAAATCTAAAAAGTATACCATGTGCAATGCACATGTGCAATTCACCTAGTAAACGTGAAACAAGGGAGGTGGATGAAGTGGTTATGGACAGAGAAATAATAGGATAGGAATTGAAAAGAAAAGGACAAATGCACCATTATTATTTTCAGCCCAAAATTTTAATTTTTCATCCATTTAAAAATTATAAAAATTCTTATTTTCGGAGCATCAAAGCATAACTCAAAAAAAAAAAAAAACAGACCCTTTAAATTATAAATAAAAAAGAAACCCCAAAAATTTCAAAAAAAAAACACGGAAAACATAAATAGTACAAAGAGCATTTTGAAAAATCTAGAATTAGAAACAAATCCTTTTAAAATCCAAAATTTACAATCAAGATCTTCAAAATTCTAATAAGTACGGACAAACATCTAAAAAATCTACAAACATCAGATGTTTGGGGGTTCTTGCTAAAAACTACTAGGGTTAAGCGAAAAACACGAAACTTATTAGGTTGTTGGGGTGTATTTTAGTCATTTGACTACATGAAAATTAATGGTTTTAATTCTAAAGGTTTTTTTTTACCAAAAGTTATTAGGTATTTAGTGAAAGTTTTAAAATATATTGGAGATTTAGTTCTAAACACTAAACTTATCAGTAATTAAGTGAAATTTACTCATATGATAATCTTGAGGGTTTTCTGAAATTATAAAAAAACCCTTGAAAATATAAAAATTGAAAAAAGACACTTAATATTCTAAAATACGAATGACCCAGAAAAAATCTATAAATTAAAATACCTCTTAAAAAATCTAAAAACTACAAACAACCCTACGTAAAATTTGAAATCACAAAAAATCCCTAAAATTTTAAAAACTTCAAACAACACATGAAAAAAATATGAAAATTACAAAAAACTTCATAAAAAGTAAAAAAAAAAAAAGCAAATAGCACCCTCAACTCTCCTCCTCCTCAGTTCCCATCTGAAATTATCAGGGCCATTCGCTTCACGGCTCCACTCTCCTCTGTCTCTATCCTCTCAATCCTCGATCACCATGATCCCATCCTCAACTCCCTCCCCATGGCCTCCTCCTTCACCTCCCCTCCCCAAATCCTCCACCGCCGCCTCCTCTCTCTCCCTCCCCGCTCCCC